TCGCATGAGCAAAGTTGTGGAACTGTTGGACGCAGAAATTGCTGTGGAGCTTGTGCAGTTTGCCTATTTCAAGAAGGTTTGTTTGTTAATATAGCTTATAGCTCATTAGTCACATTTGTTTACTCTATAATGGACAGATACAGAATACATAAAAAGTTTTTACTTTTTATTATAGTACTTCCATCAGTGGCTGATTTAAATCCATTAGACATTTCCTCTCAATTAAATGAATATCTTTTACCCTCATTTCCCATTCCTCAGGTTTTGGAGAAGGAACGTAAACGCTCTAGAAATGGGGGGCAGGACGCAGACTCAGAGGATGAGGAGGAAGATGAGAATGAAGCACAAGAAACACCTCGACCACAGAGAAAAAGGTCTAGTGTTATTCACAATAGCATGACAAAGTCGATTTTTATGAATTGTCCAAGCTATAAATAGTCTGGGGTTGGTAAGTTTTTCAAAATGTTACATTATAAATGTCTTTACTGCCACTTGATTTCTTTAAAATAATCTTACTGACTCCAAACAGTGGTGTATTCTACATTAAAATCATCAGGTGTAATGATTCCTTTATGAAATTGTTAGTTTACAGTGTTTTGTAACAATTTCTAACCCTAACCCTTTAATGTGTTTAAGTAATGATTATGATACTTATAGAACTTAGTAATAAATGAGAGGTCAATGTCCCCTGGTGGCTACCCGAGAGAACAGAGTTGACCAGGGAAAATATTTTCTTTCTTTTTTTTCCTGTAGGAGGCGCCATTCTGAGCGCAGACCATCTCAGGGCAGCGAGTCATATGACCCTTATGACTTTGATACTGAGACTGACATACCACAAAGTAAGAAAAACCAACAACAGGCTTTTTATACATATTATAATAAATAAGTTAAATTAATCCTAAAATAGATATCACACATCGTTAAAAAAATAAATATATTTGAAATATTTTAAACAAAAATGTTTTAAAATATAAGTTGAATTGTGATAAAATAATTATAGATCTTTTTTTTATTTATTATAACATTTCATTATTTCTTTAAAATTTAAACAAGCTAAAAAAATAATTTTAAGTTAAATATAAAATATTAAGATTTTTGCATATAAAATGCACTAATAATTATTATTTTTTCCCCCTCAGTTCAGTCCCCAGCTCCTGCAAGGCAGGGTGAGGAGCCAATAGACACACCTGATCAAAATGGTCACACGGAGTTGTCTGATGACAGGTAGGCGTTCAGGATTTGTCTGCTGAAATTTTCTCTATCACACTCAGCGTTTTCAAAGTGCAGCCACATTCTTTTTGAAGTATTGTTTCTGATTGAGTTCAGAAACTGTATCGCTGGCAGGTCTGCTGGTTGTTTCAGATGCTGTTTGTCTGATGCGCAATGTGTGTGTTTGCTGTAGGTTGAAGGAGTTCAAAACCGCATTGCTGGAGGTGTTCCGCTCTGCTCATGCTCAGTCAGTGGGCATGATCGCTCTAATGGAGAGCATCAACAAGAGCTGCCCATCACCGTTTAATGAAACCGAGGTCCGTGCCGCTCTCGCCCGCATGCAGGACGACAACCAGGTTATGGTGGCTGATGACATCATCTTCCTTATATAAATGTGTTTTCCGGTGAATCTATTTCAGAAGATTTGCGATGTGTGTGCAATGTTAATTTTCTAATTCTTGTACATGCATACATATGCATGTATTTAAAAAAAATATATTCTCTCAAACACATCATATTGTAGATTTTTCCCATGCTTGTACATGCGTACATATGCAAAAAAAAACAACCAAATTTATTCTCTCAAACACATTGTCAGAAGGTTTTTCATATTGTAAATGTTCCCTTGCTTGTACATGCGTACATATGCATTTAGAAAACAACTCGATTTTAATCTTTAAAACAATTTTGTTTTTTTGTTTCAATGTTTTTTAAACATGCATTTGTTTCATGTTTATCACTGTTTTTAGACTTGGTCAATGTTTTACAGAAATTAGTTTTCTCTGTTGGTTTAGCTTGGACCAGTTTTTTTTTGTGACAACTTGTAAATAATGATTTATTGTTAAAAAGAGAAGTTTGACAACACTGAAAATGTAAAAAACAAACAAAAAACAACAACCTGGTGTCAGAATAATGACAATACACAAGCTGGAGATGCAGTTTCCAATCCAGTCTTTACTATATCTCGAACCCATTCCCCCCTTCCCATCCCAATATTTGTCTTCTGTCTATTGCCTCCGTCAATAAAAACAAAAACGAATATCTCACTTTTGTTTTCTCGTTGACTGTATTTTTCTACAATATACTTGATGTACAAATAGACTACAGATCCAGATCTAGCATTTCATGAATCTGCTCTTTTGCGTAACACCAGAAAGCCACATAACCTCAAACTAGTCATGCTTCAGACATTCCAAGTCATTATAGCTACTGTTTGCCACATTGCCCTTTCAGTGTCTGTCTGTCTGTACCATTATGACTGGATTGTCTCATAGATGTAGAGCAAATGATGATTTAAATGCAAAGTGCAGCTCTTTTATAAACCTTTCTACTTGAGCATGCAGAGATGCATCTTACTGCTGTCCAGCCTCCCGGTTCCTCAGAACTGGTGATCTTAACTTTTTTTTTTTGCATGGGAGCTGGAGAAACCCTAGCAATGGTTGCAATAAAATATGTAATGTTCATTCTCATTGCATTGTAAACGGAATTATGGTTTCCTGATATACTGTAAAGGCATAGACCACTCAAAAATGAAAATTCGGTCATCGTTTACTCTCCCTCAGGTCGTTCCAAACCTGTATGACTTACCTTCTCCTTTGGAACACAAATCAAATATTTTGAAGAACAAATTTAAACCAAACCATTCCATTATATGGACAAAAAGATGATAAATGAGGGTAAGAAAATGACTATGCAACTTGTTCTTGTCATACAACTTTAAACATTCCATTGTTGTTGTTCTCATCTGCTTGTAATTTAATTTCTTGGAATGACTCAGGAGATGTTATCATATGCTTGTGGTCATGCTAGTGTTGGCTGCTGGAACGTACTGTTATAAGAACCAAGTCAGCACTTCTGTGACCTAAATTGAAATTAGTGGAGAGTGCAAGAGCATTGTGTAGTGCTGCAAGTATCAGTTAGTGTACCTGGGGCAAATTTAACACTGATTTTCCAACGAGAGCCCTTACATCAAGTGCTCTTAGGTAATGAAATGGCTAACATGAAGTAAGCATACTTTCACAGCATTAATTAATACTGGTCCGTGTTTATTTCTGTGCATACATGACCGATCAGAAGTTCGAAGTTGGCATTTATTTATGTTTTAGAAAAAAGTCTTATGCTCACCCATGCTGTATTTATTTTGTGTAATATTGTTAGAAATTAAAATAACTATTTTTAAAATGTACTTTATTCCTGTGATGGCAAAGCTGATTTTTCAGCATCGTTACTCCAGTCTTCAGTGTCACATGATCCTTCAGAAATCATTTTAATATGATGATTTAGTGCTCAAGAAACATTTCTTATCAATTTTGAAAACAGTTGTGCTGCTTAATATTTTTGTGGAAACTGAACTTTTTTTTCAGGATTCTTTGATGAACAGAATGTTAAAAAGAACAGCATTTATTTGAAATATAATTATTTTGAAACATTTTAAATGTCTTCTGTCACTTTTGATCAATTTAATGTCCTTGCTGAATAAAAGTATGACTTTCTTTAAAAAAATTATTACTGACATCAATCAGGTGCATTTATAAATTAACATTAACCCAGATTAATACATTAAGAAATGCTGTACATTGTTAATTCAAAGGGATAGATGATGAAATGAAAACTGTCATCATTTACTCACCCTCGAGTTGCTTTAAACCTGTATGAATTTCTTTATGACACAAAAGAAGATAAAATATGGGTACCATTTTTAGGTGAACTTTTAACTAAAGTTAACAAATTGAACATTATTGTAAGGTGTTAATGTATTAAAGGTGGATGAAGTCGATGTGTTTTGCCAAGGCATATTCCTGGGTCAACATATTTAGTTGATCCTGGAACAAGATTCCTGTCTTGAAAATGTAGTCCTATCCCTATCCCTAAACCGAACCCTACCCTAAAATCTGAGGAAAATGATGGGTGAACAACTGATGTAGAAGCACCTAACCGTTGTTGGAAGCCTAAATTTGACAAACTGTAAACTTGTCCCTCAAATCTGATTGGTTATGTGGAACGTTGTTCTAGGATTAGGATCAACAAAGATGTCGATCCAGGAACATGTCGTACTTGGTGAAACCCTAACCCTAACTCAGGCTCACCCTAAAACACAGTAAAGTTCTTGTCAGGTTTTAGATGCAAGATGTTATTCTGTGTAACAAAACACATGGCTAATTTAAATGATAAAATTTGAAGTTTTCCCAGGCCTCTCAATAGACAGTCAAGAGACACACTTAGCTTAGCTTTTGCTATAAAAGTTTGGCCACAATCAGCATGTATTTGCAGTGCCACATATACGTATATGGGGCACTTTGTCTTACATTATCACATATGATCAGCAAAAGCCAGTCTTTTAGAACATTATCGACATATCCTGTCAAAGCTGTTGACCCATATAAAGTGCATCTCAATGCACTGCTGGTATACATATTTGTTATTCATAAGTCTACTGATGTGTATGTAGGTGAGACATGAGAGCGTGGGAGAGCACAGAGAGTTGTGTCCGTGTGTCTGTCAATCTGATTACAAATGACATAATGAAAATTGTAGATAGTAACTTAATTTAAATTACAATTTTTTCATGATATATGCAGACTAATTTTTTATTACCTTTGATCAAATTTATTTATCACTTTGAGATTCTTCTAGAAAAAAAAGAACTGATGTCACAAAAAGAAATGCATTGCGATTGGTCTACATTGTCAGGGAGTTCAGTGATCTGAAGATGACTGTCTACTTTGCATTTGTCTCTCTGTCTACGTCAAGATCTGGAAGTGTCTTTCTCTTTCTCACCAGCATATATAAACAGAAGCAGATTCAATGCTGTTTGTATTCTGAAGATGCAGCTCTCATTGGTGAGTTAACACCAATTCATTTAACTCTAATTCATCTTTCTTCCTTTCTTTCTTTCTAGTGACTAGAACGATTTTAGGAGGTTGTTTTCATTTTGGAGGAGTATAATCTAGATATTATATCTACTTGAAATTTGAACGGCAGGACAGAATTTTGTTGTGAGAAAATGTTCATTTAGTTTGTTTTGTTGAGTTCTTAGGATATGCACCACTTTTGTTTATATGTAAATAAAGATGCTTAACTGACATTCAACTCAATAACTACAATCTTTAAGCCTTTTCTTTAAGATTTACGAATTTCAATTGTATAGTGAAATTCCATCAAATTGAATTTAATAATCCTTATATATTATTCATATTATGGATTAAGAATTTTAAACGAATATAAATCTAATTGGAATAAGGGAATGGACCATTTAATTTATGTGATTCATATTAATAAATTTTAACATAGAAAATATTTCTTTTTAAATTTAAATTTAATTAACATAAACCGAAATGGTCCAATCCCTTGGTCCATTAAGATTTATACAAAATGTTTAAATTATAATATATATATATATATATATATATATATTTATCAAATTATGTTTTAAAAAATGTCAATTAAGCTTTAGTTTTTTTTTTTTACTCGATAAATGTTTTTTGAGTGTATATATGTCTCATAACATAAGATGTCTAAGGTATGTCTCACATAACACTTAACTATATGTAAGATTGACATATAGTTAAGGATTGAATGCTTTTTTGGGTAAAATGAACAATATCAAAACGGAAAGTCCCAGAAACACGCGGCAGTACTCTACTCTTTGTCTCCATCTCCTCAGGTTTTCAGAGCTGTGCTGCTGCTTTTCCTGCTTGCCCTTATACTAGGTGTAGAATGCGATTCTTCTGAGAAAAAGTCTAAAAGAAACGGAAAATCGAAACGTTTAGGTGCTGGACGTATAAAGAAAGGACTGTGGGTCGTCCAGGACTCATCTCCGTACAGCTCAATGAGTGCCTCCCTGTCTCCAAGCAGATCTTTGTCACCATGGACATATGAGTGAGTCTTTGATCTGATCAATCATAACTGTTGTCTATTTTAATCTCAGTTATGTGAATCGTACCAATGATTTGAAGTAGTTTTGAGGAATTTCACTTGAAGGTAGATTGTGATTCACTGATTACACAAAAGGCGGTTCTGTGAATTTTTATAGATGTTTCTTCTTCCAATTCAGAACTTCCTTTAACGATTCACGAATCCCACAGAAAATCTCTGAGGCAAAATGTGAAAAAAGAGGCTGTATAACTGAAGATGGTGAGGAAGACTTTGGACTGGAGTCTAAACCCATCTACTACCAGATCAATGTTCTGAGGAGGGTGAAGGGCAAAAACAAGACGCACTACGCCCTTAAACTGGAGACTATAAGTGTTAGTCTAGGCTGTACATGCGTTTTACCCATTGTTGTGCCTCAGAATTAGTTCTTTACTGTACTTTTAACTGTGTACTGCTATATTGTTGTATTAATCTGCCAATACAGAAAACTTCTGCTGTAATCTTTTCATCAGCTTTGTATTTATTGTAATCTCGATTAATAAAATATTATTGTAATATTGATTGATTTTCTTGATTGTTTCACTTTGTAATAGTTTGTTTCAGTGCTATAATTGTATGAATTAGACATGTTAGAATGCATTAAACAAACCTTGGTTTTAGTTAAGAGAAGCATTTATTTGACTTTGTACAGAGAATTTAGTCGTCTGGAAATTACAAACACAGTGAGCATTTACGTTCCATTTTCTCACAAAATCAGGTCGATTAACATTAATTCTCATCATTGCACATACGACGGCTCTTTTTTGATGCTGCGCACCAACATCAAACTGCTTTGTCTTTGTATAGAACGAGTAAAAGAAACAAGACTATACGGTAAAGCTCAGTGGCATGCCAAAGCAAAGTGCACCTTTCATATCTAATACTTTCAAACTATTTCCCAAATACAAACCGGATATTTATCTCACACCTGAGTGCTTCCATTCTTCATTTTCTGAGATGCCACTATGTGTTTATCTACTGATAAGCGTCAAAATATACAAATATAATAAATGTAAAAGCTAAATGTGCTTCTGAGTTGTGCTTAAAGTGTCACTGTGCTCAACTTTTATTCTGTGAGAGGAATATGAGCTTTCAGGCATCCAGAATGTTCTAATAATCTAATATTAATTTTATAAAATGTTCACCTTGCATCAACACAGCAGGAAATGTGATAGATATTGTACCTCTAAGCTATTTGATTACTGATGCTTAATAATACATATTGTATAAGCATGCCTGAGGTTCTATGAAACCCTATTGATTATTGAATATTAATATCAAACGATAATTAAAAAAGCTTGAGCCAAAGCCTCAGGAAATGGCACATGTTTTGGAAAAAGATGCTTTTGTGACTGTAAAGAGATATTTCCATTAGTGAAGGATGACTTTAAGATGTAGTTTAAGTTAACACATTCATCTGTACTGGATATGGAGTTTATAAAAAGCATCTCTTCATCGATTTCATTTCTTGTCCTCCTTTCCAAGTCATTTCAAAAGATCAGTTCTTCTGCTCTGAAGCAACCTCCTGTTCTCCACCAAGCAACATTCCCTTAGTGCACCTTGCATTGCCATCTAGACAATATTTTTTCTGTTTTTGATAACATTAAGTAGCTTTCCAAAAAAGCATGGTGTGTTGCAAATTGTCATTATCAATGTCCAATATGTCCCCTTTTTGAGGTGTATTGGCTAGCATTTGTTTTATTTTTCAGTTATCAGTTTCATCTCCATTACTTTTCCCCTTGACCATAGCCACATCAGTCCTGCGCAGCAGGCGCTCCTCTACCGGCAGGCCTCCTCTTTCAGCTCTTTGTTCTTCCTCACCTCCTCTGCGTGTTTGTCCTAAATAGACACAAAACAGAAAACTTACTCGATGCATGTATTAGTGTGCCTGAGTGAAGCAAAATACAAAAACATAAACAAAGTGGGGAAACTATCTACACCATTCTAATGCAATATTCATATTGATTCTTTAGTTAGACTGGGAAGGGACTCAGAAGCACAAAGGCCAGGAACACACCGAATGTTTAATCATCACACACACACACACACAAAAATTATATATAGCCTATATATCATTTCTGAATTATTCTAATTATGGAGTAATGGCTGCAGGAAATTAAGCCTTGCCATCACAGGAATAAATTATATTTTAAAATGTATTCAAATAGAAAACTTTTAATAATATTTCAAAATATTATTGTTTTTGCTGTTTTTAAAAAAAAAGCAGCCTTGGTGAGAATAAGATACTTAACATAAAAAAACGTATCTATCCCAAACGTTTGACTTTTTTTTTCACATATGAAGTTAAAATGAAAAGGTTTTCTCATTTGATTGTGATGACGTGTTTAAAAGTAAAAAAAAACTTAGTTTTTGCTTTTAAGCTAAACAGTCTAATAAAATAAATTTACATTCAGAACAAATATTTCAAGTAACGCCCTAAAGTCCATTTATTCTTGTTGAATATCCTGTTTCACTATGAAATATGTCTCATTATGAAAGCAAAATGGGTTGTAATTGTAGACAGCCGTGAAGTACTCAAGTGCTTTACATCCTTGTCAGTTAGTTTGTACCTTTTCCTGTAGTCTCTCCAGCATGGCAGCAAGAAAAGCCTCACGGTTCTCTTTGATGGCCTCCATCTTCTGCTCCAGCTTTTCTTTAGCATTCTTAATGAAGTTGTTGTTCTCCTCAAATGCCTTCTGGATGACCTCTCTCTCATGCTCCCTCTTCTCAGCAAGATGCTTTAACAGCTCGGCCTCCTGAAACTGGAGAGAATACAGTTTCAGCATCAAAATCAGAACGAATAGAGTGATGGTTTGGCCATGCGAGTGTAAATACCAACCTTCCGCCTCTCCTCAGCGGCTTCCAGTTTCTTCTGGATCTCCTCCAGTGAGGGGTCCTTACGCTGGGGCATGGAAGTGTTAAGCTCAGGCACACCCTCAAAAGAGGGAGGTTTCAGGATCACCTCAAATGCCTGGCCCGAGGCCCGCTTGTTCAGCTCAATGACCTCCATATCTTTGATCACACACCAGTTGAGATCCACTGCATCTTTAAGAATGATCACATAGAGTACTTTCTGTGAGCTAAATGTATCAAGGCCTCATTATATTTATGCTCATTGTATTTTAGTGGTAGAGATGTGTCTATAAAATAGAAACACTGATGAGTAATGTTTTATTATTTACCCTCAGCCTTGTATGTGGGATTCTCTGCATTGTTTGAGTTGATGCAGGAGCACAGAAGTGACACTAGAGGGAGCTCCTTCACCTTGTCTCGATATGCTGTGTGGAGAAACGACTGGTGGTAAATATAAAATTCCTCGTAAATATAAACAAAAGCATGCTTTCTCTTAAAAATCTTGTTCATACTTGATTGGTTCAGAAAAGTACACATTTCAAAACAAAACAATCTCATTAAAAACACCTGTAAGCGATTCCACATAAAATGTCTAACCAGGCTACCTGAAAGATTTCACTGAATTAACCATAGGGTGAAGTAATGGTGCGTTCACGTGCTATGGTAATTATGGTAAATACCGCACATGAACACCCCCTCATGTGGTATTTTCCACTGGGCAACTCGTAGAATATTTTGATGCACGAGTTGCCGAGATGAGATTACCTTTGACCTTTTCAAAATGGCGGAGAGCAACGCAAGAGTTGTGAATGGTAAAAATATGTACTATTCATGATCTAGAAAATATACAGCATATTATTTACCGTTTGAGTTTTGATAAATCATTTTCTTGCTGTAGCAGATGACGTAAGCAATCTAAAATAGTTTTAGCTAAATAACAGGTCTGGATCTCCATCTTTTTACCACATTACAAGAACAAAAGCACTTGAACGCAACACACTGGTAAATACCAGTTCACAAGTGGAAAATATCATATTTTCCATAGCACGTGAACGCACCATAAAGCATCATTCCCAGGGATTGCTTGAACTGCTAAAATGTATGTATTCAATGTAGCTTGAACACAATGTAAGTCGCTATGGATGAAAGCGTTTGTGAAATGTACAGTATAAGTGTAATATAACCAGAACAATGGAAATCTTTTTTATTTCAGCTATTTTTAATTACAACTCGCGGATTAGAAAACCTGAAGGCTCTCTGATAAACCCAACCAATCGCATGATTTTTGGGGCGGAACTAGCTGTTTGCTCGACCAATGGGAGTCTGAGGGAGCGTTTGGAAAACCTGTTTGGAGACAGGTTTATTTAAAGCTGCAGTCCGTAGCTTTTCCTCTTTGTCGCCATCTCTCTGTTCGAAATCTGTAACTGCAGTGATTCGCGGAATTATCATCTTTACGTGGGTTGTAAATCGGCATGAAACAGCGCGGATGAACACAGTGCTTTGAGGCGAGTGGTGCTGTCAGTCACCGCGCTGTGTGGATACTGTCATACAGAATCACAGATTCACTTTTTGAAAGTTTGACCAACATAAGAATTTTCATAAGAAAATGTCTTCTGAACAAGTAAGTAACATCCATTTTTGTTCTGACCAACTAAGGGGGAAAAAGCATTCGACATGATAAGCTTCGTTAGATTTAATCAACGCGATTTACAGCAACCGTGCAAATTATAGCCTACTTTGTTCTCAAATTGTTCATGTTAACAACATCAGCATTGCGTGACTAATGTTAAATTTAATGTGTTTTATGGTTACCTGTGTAGTTCAGAATTCATATTCTCCATAATAGCAAAACGAGAAAGGCACAACAAAGGAAACTCCATAACTGTGTGAATTAAGAAAACGTACTGTTACACGATTGAACTATTGAAATGTCTTACTTGTTCAGCAGAAAAAAGCCGTCTCTTCTTCCGTTTTGAACCCCTTCAAAACACGGAGTTCACGCACTTTTCAAAAGCCCCGCCGATGTTTAAATCCTTGTGTTCGCATGAGACGGTTTCTTTCTTTCTCTAGCCACCTTAAATCCGAAGTACGAAGTCTTTTGGGTTTTATAACTGCTGAATCTCCAGTTGACACTGATGATTGTTGTTTGGATCTTTCTGGATGCCATAAGTTTAATTATGTAAAGTACTGCGAGAAAAGCCTATACATCTAAACATCTCGTCACGCGCAGTATAGCCGGCTAGCCGAAACTCCTTCTTTATGTGTACGGGTGTGACGTAATGACGCAAAAACATGCTCGAATTTCCCGCGGAAACCCACCAGTACCACTGGAAATAAAATCATTATTACAAGCTAACCGTTTTGAATCTAGCTATGGCAAGCTATAGTTTTGACCACTGGCAGAATAAGTTTTTTTTAATATAATTATTTTGGATTATTTTTAACTTAAAAAAGTTACGGACTGGAGCTTTAACCATAGGGTGAAGTAAAGCATCATTCCCAGGGATTGCTTGAACTGCTCAAATGTATGTATTCAATGTACCTTGAACACAATGTAAGTCGCTATGGATGAAAGCGTTTGTGAAATGTACAGTATAAGTGTAATATAACCAGAACAATGGAAATCTTTTTTATTTCAGCTATTTTTAATTACAACTCGCGGATTAGAAAACCTGAAGGCTCTCTGATAAACCCAACCAATCGCATGATTTTTGGGGCGGAACTAGCTGTTTGCTCGACCAATGGGAGTCTGAGGGAGCGTTTGGGAAACCTGTTTGGAGACAGGTTTATTTGAAATAAATTATAATTAAACATTTGACATTTTTACATAATTCAAAAATAATATAGAATATTTTAGAAAAAACTGAAGCTGCTTCAAATATGCATATTTGTTACTCTGGAGAAACTTTTTGCAGTGTACAACCTTGGCAAACTAAATTTTCATTTTAATTATCAACGAATCTAAAATGTTTGTATTGGATTTTTTTTATTGTATTGGATGTCTGATACTCTGATAACGTTAATCATAATAATTGTAATGTATTAAAATCAGTTTCTTCTAGTTTCTCTATAGGTTTTAAAAAGATTTAAACTAAGCATCTGTGTTAACATTTCAGAACAAACATTTCATACCCTGTGCCTTCAAATGTTGATTTTGACAATGGGGGCTTTGGAGTTTGAGAATCAGTGCTGACATTTTGTTGCTTACCTGCCAAGGTCATGTTTATGCAGTATTGTGTGTCGCTTACAACCCTTCACTCTGTCCTGTTTAGAGAGAGAGAAAGAGAAGAATAGGAAAGAGTGTGTGTTTTTAGTTTACTGGCCACAAGGATAAATCACTCTGGCCTCAAGTAAATGTTCTGAAACATCAGAATTATAAAATAACTCAAATTAATCCCATTTGATTAATACACTAATGTCTTGTACTTTCAAAAAGAATGTGTGAAATGCAGATCCATTGTGCACGAGATGTGTCTAAAAGGCGCTTGTTGTGATGTGGCGGGACACTGGTGAGAGGGGAGCATGAATTTAGATGAGGGGCAGCAGGGAGTGTCACGCACAATCTCTGTATTGTTACTCCGCCTGAAAGCTGCCACTAGTACAAGACAATTTTAGAAAGCATCACAAACATTAAACATTACATTAATCTTAAAACCAAAATACCAGGTATGATGTTAAACACCCAAACTGATTCCAGCCCAGATGACATTTCACAGCAGAGGTATAAGAGCTTAGTGAAAGGACAAAATGTCAGTGATGCTTTGTTCAGCTTGGGGAGCACTAAAACCTAAAGAGATAGTTGGCGGTCACCGGGTGGTGGTGTATGTCTGTCTCAATCTATAATCATGAGCAAAACTGGCATGGATGGACCCCTATGGAGAGACACCACTGAGAGAGAAGCATTGCCCTGCCCTGTTCATACATACAACTACTTGTGTCTATACACACTTATTAGCATTTGGATTAATAGCCCCTTACTGCATGTTTAGCTGTATATTTAGCAGATACCTGTTTATACTTTCAATATTATACTGTCTTTGCCACTATATTCTTACATCACCGTTACAAAACAAATTCACATGACTCCTTTACATAATTGTTATCTGTTGCCCCAAATGGCATATTTGCATAATGTCAGACTAAACATTTGAAAAATCATTTATCAAATTACAATATTAATACAAAACACATTAAGTAACAAAATTACTCCAAATCCAACCGTAAAAACTGCAGTCGGTGTGTATGTGTGTGAAAGGTTGTCTGACTCTCGCCTTTGAATGACATAATCTAGTGCACTCTTGAATTATGTCATCTTTTAACACATTAGTGCATATCTATACACACAGATACAGATACATTTGCCGATACATTCATTTTCATGCATATAAAAGTTGCTTGGCATACATTATTGATGGCAGACAAAGCATGCTGTAAGAACACTGAGTTCCCACTAGATGTCTGATGCGGCACTTTGAATCTTTGAGTCAAAGGTAACCTTTTTCTTTTTAGTAATCAATGTTCAAATCGCAAAAAAACATCAGAGCACATGCAGCCTCTCATTTCATTTTGTGATGCCCACACTTACCTTTCCTTCTTGATGAGGTGTTGTCCCTGTCTCCCCCCTCTCTCTCTTCTGTCTCTTTCTCTGGTCTCCTCTTTTTCACCTCCCTCTCTTCTGCTCCTCGGATACAAGAGCTCAGCAGCATCAGCAGCGGCACCCCTCCTATCGCATGACATCATCTCCCAGTGCTGCTATTGGCCGAGGTGAGTGGCAGAGCACGGTGGGCCAGCATTTCTCCATCACAGAGAAGCACGGGCGGTGTTAACTCTTTGTGCCTTACTGCAGGTGTCCATGCAAAATAGAAGACAAGTGTTTTCTAACACGTACTGTAGATGACAAGAGACAGAAGACAAAGATTAGAGTTTACAATATTATAATATATAGTACAATAACACTAAGAACTATTATTATTAATAATACAACCAAAGCAATAACAAAATAAATGTTTCATTTCCCCCCATAATATATTATATTACATTACATTACATTATATTATATTATATTATATCATGTCCCCTACCTGTGGATAAGTGGTTTGGAGAAAATATGAATTATATACTGTATATATATATATATATATATATATATATATAAGTTTATATGATTTTATATATATTATGAACTCTATTGTACTAAATCCTGTATTTTCATGATGCATATGTCACATTTGTGAACCACCGCCCAGTGTTGCCAGGTCTGCTAACAAAACTAGCACAATGGTCAATCAAAAATAGCCTAATCACACTATACCAAACATAAAACCTCAAAATCTGCCACTCCCAAATACATATTTTACAGTCGCTGTTTTGCGTTATACACAATATCACCTGAAAAATCACTATATATTAGTAATTATAAACACGTTCTGTTTTCATAAAGGAGCTCAAAGGCTCCCTACCAGGGCCCTCCCTCACAAAACCCATCATTGTTTTATCATGGGTAGAATATAAAATGGGTAAAATATTTAAATACAAGCATTTCAGTCAAATAAAATGTATGCAGTATGTCAAACCTTTAACCCGCTGTAATTAAATCAGTTTATAAGAAGCCCAAATCTGCCGGGAAAATCACAGACTTGGCAACCCTGCCACTGCCCCTTCTTCTATTGCTACAGAACTCAGATACCCATAACCTCCTAAATGATGTCACCCAGATGTCGGTCCGCAAGGGATGGCATGAGCACAACAAGAGAAGAAGACAGAAACAAGTGAAAGGGAGTGTCTTTGTGCTGTACTGCAATGCAATAGACACAGAATTGTTCTGATACCAGAAACGATCTTCATTCATGATGATGACTGAACACTGTCATCATCATATACACTGTCCAGTCTAGTCATAACCACTGACTGGAAAGAGAAAGAGAGACAGCATCACAATAAGAGATGTGATGATAATTTAGGCTTTATAACCACCTTTACAGTCTATCCGGGATGTGCACCATGGCCTCAAGTTTTTCGGTATTTAAAAATGTATGGCTGATTACTGTATTCTTAATGAAATATTTTGAAAATAGAAGCACTTTCCCTAGTGGTCTTAAACATAAATATACCTTCTCAACGTGCCAAAGTCCAGACTCTTCATCGTAAGCACCACATGTGATTCTGCAGACGTCCCCCAGGTGCTGTCTCTGTATCGATCTAAGGGGAAGGGAATAGTGGAAGCGTAATGATTAAGAACCCTTATTGAATCCCACTGAGGTGTGACAGATATTAGACAGTTACTGGAACCACAGTCTCGCTCTATCAGCACTGCACACATCCTCTGCAAGTTGTTTGGGATGAAAAACACCTCATCTTTTGTATTCAAATGCTCAATATTCTATACCTATACCTGCATGATTTGCCTTTTCAGCTTCATGTAAGCGCCACCTCTTATGGTTTACTCCAGCACAAAGCATGACTCACTAAGGTAGAGCTGTGGATACGTCTGACATCATCCTGTGCTTTCTGATGACTTCACCCACACAGATATTGATTCACTTGACCGATAAGATTACATCTTTAAATCCAATATCAGTGCCTTTCAGTAAATAATTACATTGTTTTATTGTCTGCAATAGTCAGCCAGGCCACATTTCTCTGACCCAGTTGAAAGTTTTTGTCAGTTTGGTTATTTCTTCTGGTTAGAGTGGTTGTTTTTTCAACATTTCTCTTTCTCTGCAGAGTTTAGGTTGAGGTCACTAATCAGAGGAATAACACCAGTGATGTAATGGGGCTGGACAACGGTGGACTGAGAGAGAGAAAGGGAGGGAGAAAGACCGATAGGACAAGATTAAAGGGCAGGAAATGGATTTTTATCCCCTTGGAGATTTGTAATTAAAACGGGTGATCTAAGTGGTAAGATCTTTACTCAGGCATATATGTAAAATGGAGAGTATGAAAGGGGAAAAAATCTCAATTACTCCAACTATATTCTGGGACTCGAAATTATGTTTGCACGACTTGCTAGCAGCCGTCCCCTCCATATGCCCCTTTTTTCCCACTCGGACCTGTTGACATGCCAGATGCTCTTTTCTCAGGCTTGTTGCCATGGAGACAGTCTTGCACCATCTACAACTGTCTGAAATTATTGGCAGCTTTGGTACAGAGTTTTAAATGTCTGAAATCATGAAACTGAACGGAAACTTTTCTAAGGTAATTTTAGGCCCAACACAAACATCAGGCTATTTGTCTCAGTTGCGGTAAAACCCAATGTTATAATAAAAACACAAATCTGATGGTAAAGGTCACATATAGGCCTGGACTTTATTAAATCTGATCCATTTACTTTATGAGTGGTTAACCTCAGAGAAAGGGAAATTCTTTGCGTTTTCTACTATCCCTGTTTCTGCGGATGTGAAGATCATTTCTGTTGTGACAGAGGAGAATTTCCATATGAAGCATCTCATCTGGTTCCTCTGACTGCACAGTCTAAATGTCAGCTTTTGAGACATTTTAGATGTTTTTCAGACATAAAAAGAAATGAAATGCCTCATGTAAGAATTGATCGAATAGTCTCACAACACTTTTTCCAGATGTTCATTATGACTTCCTCCTGTCAGTGACCTTAGCAGGTAAAAACACAAAGCTGGTCTGGAAATGCACCACTGCTCACATAAAATGGCTTACAGGGGAATTACGTTTTGATGGGTCACTGCCTAGGGTCATAGTTTATGGGTGAATTAAACTGCATTCAAGAATGAAGTGTTTCTCCTCAAGTTCCTTCGGATCTCTCTTGATCTTTTGATTTTGAGCAGCAATGGCCTGATACCTAAATCAAATTTCACACTTTCAATTCTTTAGTGTTCAAAGGCTTGTTTTGTTTAGTATGCACAGAACTGAAACTAATTTGCTAGAATGGTAGAGGATGGTGGGTAATTCAACAGCTTGTGTTTCATGTCCCTGTCATGTCAGATACCAGACAGGCAGGAGATTTGCAGATTGCAGGAATCATCATGTTCAGAACATTAATGTTGCCACTCTGCCAGCTTGGATCTCACACACTCCCTTCTCCCCCTCTATCACTCACTGTGGACGGAGAAGTCTGGGAAAAACATTTATGCACTTTGTGCACATTATCATGTCATACTGTTTTATATCATATACAAAATATATACACTGTTTTAAATAAATCCTATCTTCTGCAATCAAGAATAGAAGCACAGCTGAGAAGTTTGTTTGAGCTGCAATCTGGCGTGGATTTAAAATTTCTTCAGCCTGAGGCTTATTCATTTCACTTATGGTGTGAAAGGGCCTTTACATTTGCCAAAATTATAACTTTTGTTTAAAAAACAACAACAACAACAACAAACACATCCAAGCAAAAACAACAACACCAACACAAAAGTAATGTAACATTACTTACAAAGTAACTAAGTTGTGCAATTAGTTACTTTTTTGGAAGTAATACAATATTGTAACGCATTACTTTTAAAAGTAACTTTCCCCAACACTGAAAATGACAGTAAAGGCATTTATAAGGTTACAAAAGATTTCTAATTCAAATAAATGCTGTTCTTTTAAACGTTCCATTCATTAGAATCCTGAAAAATATTGTAGTGGCCTATAAAGTATAATATAAAGTATGGCTTCCACACAAATATTAAGAAGTACAACCATTTTCAGCATTGATAATAATAAGAAATGTTTCTTGAGCAGCAAATCCGCATATTAGAATAATCTACTTCTTTAAAAAACATTTTTTTTAAATACAGACCCTAAATTTTTATTAATAAAATAAAAGTAAATCTATACTATATAATATATTCAATTAAAATTGAAGCATTTCCACTTGTGGGCACCAATATATGTATATTTTTATTTATTTAATTTAAACTTCTAAATAAAGAAGCATAACCATACATTTCATAAATGTATTTAAATGCCAGAGATCATCTGAGCTTCATCTTCTTCTGAGAGCTTCAGTCATGCCTCTACAAATCTGTCTCCCCCTAGTGGAGAAAATAAATGTTACATCTTTGACTACTTACTAAGAGCTAGTTTGGAAGATTGAGAGTAACACATTTATTAAATACCACTTCCAGGTCACCATTCAGTGATCCCCCCTATCCTAAAAGAGGATTTTTTTTTGTCCTCTTTTATTTGCAATCAGCTTTTCAATGACCGAACAAAAGTAAAGCGCTCTAACAAAGAGCAACGGAGTTCCAGAGAAAGGGGAAGCGGTGATGAATACAACAGAAGTGACTCCACCCGCAGACTTCCATAGAGTCTGAGCTGAAGTTGTAGGGGCCACCACAGTGGGTGACTGTGGACAATGTACCACCCTGTGACTCGCTGCCCTCTCTGTGTCTTTGACTGGAGGATGTCAAGAGACTCTAATCAACAGGGTTGCAGATCTTGGTCTTGCCAATAGACCTAATACTGCACCACAACACCGCAATATAGACTGCAGCACCTATACTCTCCTCCTCCTATTTTTTTATAAAGTATTTTATCACTATTATCCTCAATGTCATACAGACAATAATATCATATATTGATCCTATTATTTGATGAAACACTGCATGTGATTTAGAAGCTGATTATGCTTAGTCTCTTACACTCATCAAGGTTGCATTTGTCTGATCAAAACATATAGTATTGTGAAAGAATAGAGTATTGTAAAATATTATTACA